TACATGTACGCACATACATTTTACAGAAAACAAACTCAGATGGTGTCTATAATGCATTTCCTGAGCTGACCTCCCATTGGCCCCTATCCCATGGGCTCCACTTACTCTGCTCTGGCTACCAGAAGTCTCCTGGCTCCACAGAAACCACCTGACATGTTCCTGCCATACAGTCCTGTGCTTGGAACCCTCTCCTGCTATTCCTGGGAACTGCTCCTTGGCTGTTCAGTCTTCACTCCTATGCGACCTTCCTGAGGAGATCTTCTCTCCCTTCCCTACTATGCCATCATGCCTATTTTCATCTAACATACTGCATACTTTACTTATTTTGCTTATTGTTTATGACCATGATTGAGTTGTTTGGTCTGTTTTGTTAACTACATTATCTCTAGCATCAAGCACACATGTATTGGCATACAGTAAATGTTTAAGAGTATGTCAAAGAAGGGGCTGGAGAGATGGCTCAGTGGTTAAGAGCACTGGCAGCCCTTGCAGAGGACCCAGGTTCAGTTCGCAGCACCCTCCAGTTTCAGAGGATCCGATGCCTCTTCTGGCCTCCATGGGCATAGCATGACATGGGTATACTTACATACATGTAGGCAATATATTCATACACATAAAATATAACTTTAAAAAAAATGTTAAAAAAATATGTCAAAAAAGCCCAGCATGGTGGCACATATCTTTAATCTTAGCACTCAGGAAGCAGAGGCTGACACACCTCTGTGAATTCCAGGCCAGTCAGAGCTGTACAGTGAGACCCTCAAAAAGAGTACACTAAAGATCTGGTGTTGCAGGGGCTGGAGAGACAGCACAGCGGTTAAGAACACTGGCTGTTCTTGCAGAAGTCTGAGTCTCTTCTGTCCTCCGTGGGCATTGCACGACACGGGTGAACTTACCCACATGTAGGCAATACCTGCATACACATAAAAAAATAAAAATAATAAATAAAATATATATTAAAAAAAAAAAAAGATCTCAGCCAGGCGTGGTGGCACATGCCTTTAATCTTTAATCCCAGCACTCGGGAGGCAGAGGCAGGTGGATCCTTGTGAGTTCAAGGCCAGCCTGGTCTACATAGTGAGTTCAGGTCAGCTGGGACTACAGGGAGACCCTGTCTCAAAAAAATGAAAAAAAAAAAAAAAAAAAAGATCTGGTGTTGCAGCTCAGTTGATAGAGTACTATCAGGCACAAAGTCTGGGTCCAATCCTCAGCAGGCAGGATAGAGCACGCCTATACTCCCAGCAGTAGAAAGGCAGAGGCAGGAAGATCATTTAAGTTCTAGACCATACTTGGCTACAAAGCAAATATGAGACCCTGTCTCAAGCAAACCAACCAAACAAACAAAACCAACAAAGAATTCATTGAAAGAACTTAAAGCAATGATATATCTGGTGTCTTTTGGTAAAAATCAAACCCCTACTTTAATCCCAGCACTTGGGAGGCAGAGGTAGGCAGATCGCTGTGAGTTCAAGGCCAGCCTGGTCTACCTAGAGAGTTCCAGGTCAGCTGGAGCTACTACAGGGAGACCATGTCTCAAAGAGATAAAAGCCAAAAAAAAAAAATAAATAAATAAAAAAAATAAAACCCCTAAATCAAAATCCCACCACTTTTTTGACCCACTTACTTGATTT